ACTTGGAGACTGCCAGCATATGGACTATCACTCATTTTGTAAGACATGGGGAAACTGTAAAAATTGCTGAGTGCTGTTTATGCATGTGCATAGCAAAAGGGCACTGCAGCATTTGGAGACACATTTTGTAGGGCATACAGGAATTACAAAGGCTAGCAGGATAAACAGTAGCAATTTCTTCTAGTGCTACAAATGTGTAAACCCTTATAGAAGTCGAATATGTGCTAATTATGTAAAGGTGATTTTTATCTTCTGTTTTTATTAATAAGGCTGAGTGAAGTTTCCCTGTATTTTAAACTGTAGAGGAATTTTTTGTTCTGTTCTGCCATTATTTTTCATGTTTCTCTCACAGGACGAATTTTTATTTCGTTTTTTTTGCTGTGCTTAAATACCATCCTTAACACCACGTCATTACAAGACATAACATTTTAATTAAATCTCTCTTTTGCTGTCCATTGCCAGGCCCGTGGCTGCCCGGCGTTGTGATTCAGTGACACGTGTGAGAGGGGGAATTCCACCGTGCCCCTAACAACGTGTGGCTGCTGCTCCTCGAGCATCCCTGCCGGGCTCACGCTGGTGCCGCTCCCTGCTGCCTCCTCCCGCCTGCCCTGCTGGCATCCGGCATCAGGTCAGCTCCTCCAGGGACCGCGGGTGGCTGACGAGCTTTACAAGCGAGGAGGGGAAAAAGGAGCTTTTCCTCGGCCGCATCCCTACACGGGCTGGAAAGGGCCTTCCCCACCTGGCAGGGGAAGAGGCTGCTTAACCCCAGTGAGGCATCGCAGCTCTCGGCCGGCATCACCGCCCGGGACCGCGCTCGCCGCCCCTCCCGGGCACCCCGCGCCGCAGCCAGCGCTGGGGCGGCGGGAAAGGCTCCGGGAGCCGCGGGCAAGGCGGCGGCAGGGCGGGCAGCGCTCCCAGCCCTGGGGCAGCAGCTGGCAGGCCGCGCTGCGAGGCGGCGGCGGCGGGAGCAGCCGGGCCGTGACTCAGCCCGGGAATGTCCTGGCACGGGCGGCCGCGGCTCCCGGTGAGGGTGACGCAAGGGGCTCGGCCGAGAGCAGAGCCCCCGGGCGTGACCGGCCCCGGCAGGAGCCGCTGCGCTGCCCGCTGCCCTGCCCGCTGCCCTGCCCGCTGCCCTGCCCGCTGTCCTGCCCGCTGCCCTGCCCGCTGCCCTGCCCTGCCCGCTGCCCTGCCCGCTGTCCTGCCCGGTGCCCTGCCCGCTGCCCTGTCCTCTGCCCTGCCCCGCCCTGCCCGCTCCCTGCCCGCTGTCCTGTCCGCTGCCCTGCCCTGCCCGCTGCGCTGCCCGCTGCCCTGCCCGCTGCCCGCTGTCCTGCCCGCTGCCCGCTGCCCTGCCCGCTGCCCTGCCCGCTGCGCTGCCCTGCCCTGCCCGCTGCCCGGTGCGCTGGGAGCTCGGGGAGCCCGAGGGGGATTTGGGGATCGCTCCGCTGGACGAGGCTGCTTAAACCTGCAGAAGTGTGAAAAGGGATAGTGGAGTCTGGAGCTGCCCTGATGGGGCTGGCTGCGGATCCGCGCCTCACACCAGCACACGCACACTGCCCCTCGCTTCAGGCTCCGCAATTAGCTCACAGGGAGGCATTGCAGGTCTTCCTAACTTGCCGCAAAATCGTGCCAGGATCCACAACTTAAGAGACAAATATATTTAGTGTTGGTTTTTTGCTTGTGTGTTTGTTTGTTTGTTTGTCTGTTTTGGGGGGTTTTTTTGTTTTTGTTTTTTTTTTGTGTGTGTATTTTTTTTGGGGTGGTTTTTTATGTTTTTTTTTTTTTTTGAGTAATGTATCTGCAATGTAAGGAGAGAGAAAAACTCAGTGTTAGCATTTCACAGCTTTTCTCTAATGCTCTCTTACATTACCAAAAGTTAGACTTTGTCTGGCTTTCTTTGCACTCCCACTGAAAATACAGAATTGTTAGAGGAAAATTTGGTATTTTGCATGGGTACACAGGACAGCAAAGGAAAAAAAGAAGTGTCCTGAGCAAAAGATCACATCAGATGCAGTTTCCTATGCATTTCTCTTCCTTGACAGGTTGATTTTTTGAACTGAATGGTATTAAGACTCTCTGTCATTTCAGTGTGCACCTATGCAAGCTCCTCTGCTTTTCCTTTCCCTCTGCTCAGTCCTCTTGAAGGTAATCTGGCTACACTGTAACAGCTCCAATGCCCCCAGCAGAAACCAACAGGTTCCTGAATTGGACTGGTAGACATATAGCCTCACTTTCTTCTATCTCAAATGGATTATTTTATAAAATTTAATTACTTAATTATGGATCTTAATTACTTTTGTGACCTCTATTCTTGTGTCAGATTTAACTCAAACAAGCTAACAAGTCAAAAAGTCACTGAGATAAGGACTAGCCCAGGTCAGAGAGGATGCCTGAGGAAGCCAAGCAGAGGCCTTGCTTCCACGGGAAATGAAGCTGAAGTTGCAACACTGAGCTCAGCGAGGACCACAGAAAAACAAATAGGATGCACAGAGCACTAAAGGAAAGGACTGTGATACCAAAGAGCTTCAGTGCAGAAGGCAGCTCAGTCGATTCTAATAATTTCTCACTAATGAGCATCCAGGAGCTGAATCCAAACAAAGAGTGCCTCCTGCTCCACGGTGAGTCATTGCTTCCATCCACAGAGGGTGAAGGGAGCCTTGGAGGGCTTCCTCAGAGGCATGTGCTCCACAGAGGGTATCATTCACAAAGCTTTTAGTGCTGCTGCTGCTGCTGCTGCTGCTGCTGCTGGGCTCTCTGAATCATTGGGCTATTTCGGTGGTGCCTGGTGGGATGCAGGTCTTGTGGCACAGGGTGGTGAAACTCGATGCTTCCCGATGCAGTGAGATGCCGAAGCAAGGAAACAGCTTTGTCTGGGTGTGCTTCAGCAGTAAGATTTGCTTGGTCATTACTGCTTTTGGCTGGATACTGGCCATTTCTGTGGCCTCCAAAGTTCACCAGTGGGCTCTGTCACAAATTCCTTCTCTGATCACTGCAGTCACCGGGAGTTCAAAATTAATTTCCTTGAAAATGAGAAGCCCCTTTCTGTTTACCTGTGACATGTTTTTCACCTCTAAGAAATGCTCTCAAATTCTGGCAAACTCATTTCTGTCTCAGAGATTTCTGTAAAGTCACACTCCTCCAGTCTGTGCTGCTTCTGTACTCTGGTGACTGCCAAGTATCAGTCAGTGATGTGCAGCAGCAGAAGCAGCAGCCCTTGGTGCCTGGGTACCTCAAGTATGCACCTTGTGAGATGAAGAGAGTATCAAGCACTCCTGATTCATTATTCAGTTTCCATGGTGTTAAAAACGGAGGGTGAGTCATGCACAGTGTTGCAGTTGTCATCCCTGGAGCACCTATCCAGCCACACAACTCTGGAGCTGGTAACTCCACACCTTTCATTTTAGGAGCCTGGAACATGCAGTGCAGAGGCCCCATGTAGGTGGCTCAGGGTGCTCTGCAAGGACACAAGACTAGGGCACTCACACACAGCAGATTCCTGCTCCTGTGCACATGTTAGAAGTTTGCTGAGCCCATGGCAGCAAGTGTGGTCAGCAGCACCAGAGGATGTAGTGCACATGAGCACAGCTACACCTGCTTGCCAAATACACAATAAAGGTACTCCTTCCAGAGTCCCACATTGCTGGCTCTTACACAGGCAGTAAAAGTAATCGAGTAATCAGGAAAAAAAGACTTGAGTCAAACAGAGCTCAGTGGCAGCAGGAAGTCCGGAATGTGTGGCTGTAAGGAGTTGAGGGGTAAATACAGCTCCAGATTAGTGATTTCAAGGCTGATGAATCTAATTTTGAATATTGATTATGCAAATCAGTCTTGAATTCTGCATCCAGAGGGCAGGATATACCCAGAGGGTCGGGTGTAACTCAAAAAGGATATTGGAAACATAGTGTCTCAGCTGATCAACAAGGTAATGTATAGTAATGGAGAATGGGGGCAGAAATGTCAACACATCCCTCACACAATGCAGTATGAAGATACGAATATATATGTATCTAAAACACATAGAGGAACCTAATACACATTCACACGCGCTGACAAACACTGGCTTGTCGGTTTCTGCCACCATGCTGGTAGCAGTTCAAGTGTTTGGGGGAGAGAGAGCTGGCTGGTCACAGCACAGGTTGGAGGCTCACAGGTACAGCTCCTTGAGGTACTCAATGTTTAGGATTCCTTGGTGTTCAAACACACCAGTTCAGGGCGAAGAGTCACACAGGACTGAGAATCCTCTTGTCCAGTTGGAAGGGCTAGAGATAAAATGCTCTGTGTTTGTTGCCCTGCGCCTGAAGCCCTGTCCAGCTTAGTATGGAACAGTAAAACACTGTCGGGAGAGCTGTCCTTGTCATTTTTTCATCTTTTCATGCACCTTCCACCCTACGTGCTGCGTCCCGCCCCACTGTCTGAGCAGCTCTGCCAAGACGGCAGAAAGAGCACTCTTTGTGCCCAGGGCCTTTCGCTGCACAGCCCGGGGCGGCCGCAGCACAGATCCCTTCCAGCGGGGACAGGGCGGCGTGGCACACGGCAGCGGCACAATGCCGCCCGTGCCGCCTGCTGGGGCAGCCTGGCAGCGCCGAGCCGTGAGCAGGGGGCAAACCCTTCGGAGCAGCACAGAGCGCCTCGGCCCAGGGAGCGGCGCCGGGCGGTGCGGGGCAGGGCGGGCAGGGCGGCTGGCTCCGAGCGGCCGCGCCGCCATCGTGCCCCGGCCTGACGCTGCTGCTCCGGGCCCAGCCGAGGGGCCGCCTCTCCCCTCGCAGCCAGCCGGCCGCTGCCGGGGCCCGCTGAAGGGGCCGCCCGGGCCTGCGGGGCCCAGGCCAAGCACCCGCAGTCCGGCGTTGGCGCTGCCTCGACCGGGCGGCGAGCGGGCCCCGCCGCCTGCGGGCCCTTCCCGGCGGGGGCCGGCCCAGCGCGGCCCGGCGGCGGCACGTGGTGGCGGCGCGGCCCATGTGACCGGCCCTCCCCGGCCGCTGCGGCTCATCCCCCGCCCGGCCGAGTCCCCGCCCGCCTCGCCCCCAGCGCAGCGCAGCGCTCTCTGCGTGCAGCAGCCCCGCACCGCAGGCAGCCGCCGCCGCCCCGGGACCCGGCGCCATGGTAAGGGCGGCGCGGCGCGGACGGGCGGGGAGGGCGGTGCGGGCGGCTGGCGCGGCCCGGAGGAGCCGAGCGAGGCTGAGCGGAGCAGGCCCGGCCCGGCGCGGCCCCGCGGCCTCCGGCGGCCATTTTAGTCTAATTTTAGCCGGGTGCGGGGGGAAGGGGACGCGGGAGCGGCCGCGGGGCAGCTGCGGGCGGCGGGGCTGGGGCCGGGCCCGGGGCCTGGCCGGGCGGGCGGCGCAGCGCTCCCTGCGGCACCGCCCGGGCGTGCGATACCCGACGGGGCGGTGAGGGGCGGTGGGCGCGGAGAGAGGGGTCCCGCACTCCTCCCGAGGAGCCGCCCGGTGCCCGGGCCCGAGGGGCGGCCGGGAGCGGCCGCGGGGGAGCGCTGGGGCCGGGCGGGGCTGCCGGCGCGCGCGGACGGGGGCGCGGGGCGGCGGGGCTCCTCCGGCCCCGCGAACAAAGCGGGGAGAGGGGCCCGCGGCTCTGCCCCCGGGGACAAAGCCGGCGGCTCCCTGCGAGCACCTGCCTTCCCTCCCGGCAGCCTGCGCTGGCAGCGCTGCCTCGGCAGATGTAGTTGCTGGACCGAGAGCAAGGGCGCTGCAGATGGGCTGAGCTCGCTTGCTCACTCGCAGCGGGGTTTGCTAAATTATTTTCATTTTGCCTGGAGCTGCCCGTTTGCCCTGCCGGTGTTTTGTTTCCTTGCTGTTTTAGGCTCTTATTTTGAGCGGCTTGCGAGCCTGATGGGGAGCTGTACAGTTGTAATCGGTGTTTTTATATGAACGAAGAGCAGTCAAACAATACTCCCGCAGCAGTATGAAGTAAAATTCGGGAGTTCTTAAGGCGCGGTGTTGAAGCTGACACAATGCAGAAAACATTTGTGCTGCTTGTAGAGCCTTACCTCACGCAACAAAATGAGAGTCATGACACTGCTGGATGTGAGCTGCTGCTGTAGTGTTTGCTCTACTAGAAAAAAAAAAGCCAACAAAAATCTATCCCCCAAAACCCCACCCCCTCCCATCCCAACCGAAAATTACAAACTCCTCTCCTGTGTTCAGTTCCTACCCCCCCATCCTCCCTCTTCCCCTCCCCCCAAGTAAGCCAAATGCATAAGGTAAAGAAAACTGTTTGAGCAGTACAGTTGTGTGACTAGTTGGATGAAACTGCTATCCAGAACTGCTGAGCTGAAAATGCTGAGATCTACAACAAGAAACTACTGAATTCACGCCTCCTTTGTATCCTCTGCTCCAGTCCTACAAATATTACTAAATCCATAGTGTGTTCAGGTTGAGTATAGTATTTATATTCTTACGGGGGCAGGCAGACTTCTTTATCTAGCACTGTGGGCTATCATCTTCTTCTAGTGAGTGTTAATTTTTGCTGTTTAAATTATTCCTTTGATCTCATTTTACAGGCTTCTGGAGTAACAGTGAATGATGAAGTCATAAAGGTTTTTAATGACATGAAAGTAAGGAAATCTTCAACCCCTGAAGAGATTAAAAAAAGAAAGAAAGCTGTTCTCTTCTGCTTAAGTGATGACAAAAAACAAATAATTGTAGAGGAGGCAAAGCAGATATTGGTTGGTGACATTGGTGATACTGTGGAGGACCCCTACACAGCCTTTGTGAAGTTGCTACCTTTGAATGATTGCCGATACGCTTTGTACGATGCCACATACGAGACAAAGGAATCTAAGAAAGAAGACCTGGTATTTATATTCTGGTGTGTGAAAGCAAAGCTCGCTGTCAAAATTGAATATTCTGGAGCTACCACTGGATGACTTAGTAACTGTTTGTTGTTGGCTTTTTTCTTTAAAGGGCTCCTGAAAGTGCACCTTTAAAAAGCAAGATGATCTACGCAAGCTCTAAAGATGCCATTAAAAAGAAATTTACAGGTATGGACCTAAAAATGCTTTTCTCATTAACCACTGTACCATTTAGATGTTGAGGTTCTCATAAGTACATTGTTGTCCATCTGTCTTTCAGGTATTAAACATGAGTGGCAAGTAAATGGTTTGGATGATATTAAGGACCGTTCAACACTTGGAGAGAAATTGGGAGGCAACGTGGTAGTTTCACTTGAAGGAAAACCCTTATAAAAAGACAGACAAGTGCCATCTGGATCTAAGGAGCTTCCATTTCTGCAGCTCGTTCAATTGGAATAGTATTAGTCTCCCCATCCCCTCCCCTCCTCAAAAAATAAGCCCCTTCCCCACCGCCCTGAAGGAGATGTCATTGTTAAGCAGTCTACCAGTGATTGCCATTAGACTGTTTGATCCTGGTAGTTTTATGTAGGATCCAAGGAATGCTTTCACGTCATACTCTTGGCCAAAACTGACGTTGCAGGCATTCCTTGCAACATGTTCAATGAATGTGATAGTTAATGTAAATAGTCTAGCAGACAGCAAAGGGTAAGCTAATCGAATGCCTTGAAAGTATTGTCCACTGGTCGGATGGTAGACTCTCTACAGTATTACTTACAGTTGCACTTGATTGCAGTTCCATGAGGCTCTTGTGCATTCATACACCTCACCTGCCTTGACAAGCCTATTTTTGTGACATGGCAGCACACAACACTATGCATTTAAAGCACTTTTTTGTAATATGTTTGACCCGCCCCCTCCCCAAGGAATGCCAATTAAGTTGCTGTAACTGTGTCATCAAATTATTGTAGTACCTCAGTTTCATTCCTGTTACATGCATATCTTTATAAATGAAGTAGCTGTTACGATGCCTTTCGTTTTCCATTGAATGTACACTACTGAACAGGAGTAGAAGTTATCTGTTTACCATGAGTCTTGAAACACTAAAGTTTTGTGAAACATCAGTCATGGTGGCAATTTCTGTATTAAAAAGAGCCTTAAATGGAACATTGTTCTTTGAGATCAAAAACTGGCCACGTTGCAATAAAACTTGTGGCTTATTACAGAACGTTGCCTTGTTTTCATTGGAAAATATAGTTTTTAAGTGTTTAAGCATATTTCAAATAACTTCTGTGGAAAGTATTGTAAAGGTAAACAATCATTAATCTCATATTGAATAATGCAAGTTTTTAATACTGATTTAGGCACTGCTTTACAATACTTTGTGGCTCTGTTCTGGCCGTTCTATAAAGGACCTGCTCCTAGTTTACCGTAAAGTAAAGAAGCTACCACTATTGGAGACCATTAGTTCCATGAAACACGTGTGTCAGAAACTCAAAAATACAAAGTAATTAACCATGCAGTGTATTTTTGTACCTGAATGTTCTTAAAGTTCTACATGCCAGAGTAAAACCTTGCAGGAGTTTTTACAGCTCGCCGTCTTTCTGGGTAAGATGATGTGTAATAACAGCTACATGCAGAGTTCGAAGCGGGCAAAGAGTTTTTGTTTCTTGTGGGTTATAGTTAGACCGACCCAGTACAAGAATTAGCCTAAATGAACTGTTCTACTTGTTAGCTTCTATGTAAATAGAACTGGAAAGTGTTTGCCACTACTGAGGCTTGCATAGGGGACGTGTTTTGGCTGGGAGCCAAATAATGCTCTCCTTATAGAGAATTTGATCTGCTCTGTGTGAGCAATCCTCCGTTAGCCAGAGCTATTTATGGCAAACACATGCTTTTGTATCTTGTCATCGTTATCCACAAATGGCAAAACTGGACATGATTCTCCTGGTATGCATAAAGGAGCGCTGTTAGGCAGCCACTGGCAGCTGAACTGTACATGCTGCTGAAGGAATGCTCTTTTATCATTACCTTATTTTAAAAAGTTGGTAGAGTTGAACTGTGGAGCTTTTAAATGCAGGCTCTTTATGTTCAGTTCATAGCCCTTTTTCAACAAGGAAGCAGATAATAATCCAAATACTTTCTGTCTTTTTTTCCCCCCTCCAATAGTTTAAGTAACCTAGTGGTACTGTGTTTAGGCTCTCTTGTCCTGTAGAACTTTAAGACTTTATTTCAGGCTTCTGGCTATCCCTATGACTTGCACACTTCCTTGTGTTTGCTGTTCTAGGTAGACTAAACTTTACTAGAATTTAAGTAAAAAGGCATGATGACCACTGACTTACTAAGTGTATTAATGAGTCTTGGTTTTGTTCTACAAAACTCTCCTTTCAGGTACCTTTTAAGATTGCAAAATAACTGATGGTATGCATGTTGTCTAGGTGAAAAAAAAAACCCCACAACTTCTTATTCCTCAAAATAGTCTATTTCTGATCATTCATATTGTATGCAAAGCCCAGTTTAATGTAAAGATATCTGTGCTTTATGTTTAACTTGACTTCAGTACAGTAAAATGAAGTTATCTTTTAACTGATTTTTCACAAGGAATAAATTGTTTCTTTAGAAAAAGCCAAAATGGAAAATGTTAAATTTTAATAAACCATTTGAATTTTCATTTTAGACAGTAAACTTTTTTAAGGAGTATTGTGTTTAAATTTATTGTTTGTTTTTGCTGCAGTCCGGAAAAAATGTCTGTGGCTTTTTAGTTTAATATTATAGGTTGTTTTTTTTTTCTTTTTTTTTAACTAGCTTAGGTGTATATTCACTCAGTCCAACTAGCTATGAAATTGAAGCACAAACTGTCTTTATGTAAGATTCCTACCAAATTTAAGTTTTGGATCCAAAAGGATCAGCCTGCCTTCAGTTTGTTCTTGAAATGAATGACTGACTGACTGATGTGAGGTCCAATTCAGATGGCTTGCTTTTTAAAAAAACAAAAACAAAAAAACAAAAACCAATAAAGTGCTACAGAACTGTTACTGTTTGAATTATAAAACAAATGAGAGACAGCTGGCATCTGTTCCAAAATGGTTTGTCAGCTGTTGTTTTCTGTCATTATGCAAAACGGTGAGGGCCTCATTGTAATCGAGAAATGGAGGAAAATCCTCTCAAGTTGAGTATCTTCTGTGTATTTCTGTGTAGACGTGACTTTTGGATATCTTGGCTATTGATAAATGTTAAATTTTTCATGAGAGTAGCTTGTGCAGAAATGGCATTTTTCTTCTAAAATAATGTTTCAAAGCCAGCGGTTTTGTTTGATTTGGTAAATCCTGGAAGAGGTATAGATAGATGGGTTTGATTTCTCTGAGAAGGGAAACCAATCCAAGACTAGAGTGTGCAAGTGAGGTTTATGCTTGTGGTGAATTTAGAAGTGCAAAGCTTAAATTTGTATGGACTTGACTGTAAAAATGACTCCTGGCCAGATCATGAAGCAGAGTTTGAGTATGCTCTGTTAAACCCAAAGTGTTTCGCTAAGGGGAAGACTTTTCCTTCTCTACCATTCCCTCAGAACAAGTGATGGAATACAGCAATTGCCACAATTTGATAATAAGCTTTACTCTCTTATGCCAATTCCAGTATAAACCAAATTTTCATGTCTGCCTATTTTTTATAAACTTCTGTAAGTCCCCTTTAGTTTGTGGTGGCGAGTTAATGATTGTAGAGTGAAAACACGGCACTAATGGTGGATCAAAGATCATCAATGTAGCACCTGTCTATTGAACTTCTTTGAAATATTTCTGATTTTGAAAACCTGGTATAAATAAAATTAATTTAAATGTCTTCAGTTGTTGAGTTTGTTTGTGTGCTAGACATCACCTGCGTTAATCCCTTTGTTGTCTTTGTACTGGGAGCAGTCCAGATACTGTGAAAGTTGTGGAATACCTGGAATTTTTGTAACAGGTTTGTTCTGCTGCCCACTCAGATCAATATCCAACTATAGCAAAAGCCAGCGCTACTGGCTCTGGAGATGGATATAAAGAAATTTTTAGTGAGCTGGTTCTAGATAGCCTTTTTCTTTTGTTGGATCCCAGCTCGTGTGTTCAGAAAATTAGATGGCTTTCATATAGAAAATGTAAAATGTATGTTTACACTGGCAAATCATTTCTAGTACAGGGAAGGAAGTGAACTGATGTGTGAAAAAACTGACTCCATGAAGAAAGATCAAAATATTACCATTTTGGTATCAGTGGCCTGTCTCTTGTTAATATAAGATTCCTTGGATCTAGGAATATGTTATCTGGAAGAGTTAATTTTGTAAACAAAGCTGTGAAGAAACAGCTTCATTGAATTCTCTGGAGAAGGCAGACTTTAACAATGTGCATTAAAAAACCCTTTACTGTTTATCTAACACAAGCCTTCTCTATGGCTGTGGGGAACATACATAAGAATCTGCATTAAAGAAGAATGAAAGGTCTCTGAAGTTTTTTGAATAAAAATTACTGTTTAGCTTAAAAATGTTCTATTTTTACTAAATTCATATCCAGTGCTTGACCCTATTGAATTTGGACATTTTTCTGCCTCACCTTCCATGCTGTTGAATCTACAATAATCCCCATACATCTTACTCTTTCTTGCATTTCTTATCTATGCATTCTACTAGTAACCTCTGAAAAATAAATACAACAGTAAAAATTAAATCTTTTCATAGGAAGTTCAAACAGGTGACATAATTTATGTTCATTTAATGATTTCATAGAATTGTCTTTTTACATTATAAAGCTTAGGGAAAAAATGTGCTAATTGGAGGTACTGAAAGTAATTTTTACATTCCTAAGATTCTGTGACTGTCTTTTTAATAACTCATTGTAGAATAATGTTTCTGTTGTCAGCTTTGCTTCATAGATATTTAGAAAACTAATGATTGGAAAATAAACTTGAGGATGCTGCTGATTATTTTTAGAAGTTTCTAAATGTCAATTTGGATTATAAAATAATATACAAACTTCAATTTCCCACTGCTAGCCTAATTTTTATTCTTGTGTGTACAGGCTTAGAAATGTATGTGTAATCATGCCTCTCCTCTTCCACCTCTTTATTTTTAAAAACAGCTGTGTCACTGCAAATCCCTGCCATCTGCCCACTGTCTTCTGTAAAGGTTTACGGACAATCTCCACTTGTACCTTTCAGTATCTATTTTCCCCTTTTCTCGTTTGTGATTGTAGGAGTTTGGTTTAGAAAAACTAACCGCTGTAACACTGTGCTCCTCGAAACCTTTTCTATTATGCAGCAAGTTAAAAGCATCAGTTAATCTCTGGTGAGCGCAGCTGCAGGGTGTACGTTGGCTTGGAAAAAGAGATGTCATTTTGAGAACCAGTTTAGAGAGCCTTATTTGTGTCTGCTTCCTCACAGTGGCAGCACTGCTTTCATCTGTGACCTTCTATTAAAGCTGATGTGAGAGCTAAGCTTTTCTTCCATTTTGGCTGTTTCAACAGAAAATGGAATGTGCTTGTAGCAAACAAGGTGCAGGGAAGCAGAGAAGGTTTAGAAGCAGCAGTTTTTCATAGAGACCTGTACATCTGGTGGGGGGGAAAGGGTTACAGCAGAGGATTTGTTTCCTTTTAATTTCAGTAGGAGCTTGCAGCTGTAATGACTGGGCTTATGTTATCTTTTGCTCTGCCTGAACAAACTGATTCCACAGTCTCAACTGTCTCAATGCTTTCATGCAATGAAATGTGAACACACAGCTCTTTATCAGTGAAATGTGGTTTACTCCTACAAAAGTGAAGCCCTGCTACAGCAGTGCTCTTGGTTAGCCATGTCATGTGGAGAGATGCACCTAAGCTGCATTTGAATGATCCTTAAAAAATGTGTGGGTTTTGATTACACCAAATACAATAATTATGCTATTACACGGGCACTGAAGAGACAAACGGATATAGTTCTTAATTAGGTGACTGCAAGTGACAAATATAATTCATGGTCATATTTTTGAAGCTTAGTCCTGTTATTTAAGCATGACTTAAAGATGAAACACTTCCCAGTCCACAGAATTCATTGCCTGCATAAATTCTTTTAAGCAGCAGTAGCGTAATTTTAGCTCTTCACTGAATATACTGATGCAGAATCTGTCACCTGAGGGTTTTTAGTCGTCTGCTTGACAAATTCCTTTTGTAGTGCTGCATTATTTCTCTGCATCCACACTTCAAATTCAGTTCCCAGAACTCTCCTTCC